TTCAGCATATAGTACTTTAAAACAAAGCCATTTTGATAATTAACAAAGTGCAAACGTGGACTGTGAGGTACATGGGGGTGTGTTGCGCCTTCGTTATCAAGGTCATCATAGTACTTTTAAATCCTAATAAACAGTCGGTACCTACTCATGTATTACGTTCCAAATGCATACGTCAGTACAAAAGGTGAAACCAAAAGATAAGGGCAAGAAATAATACGTACGACTAATGAAGCAAATGTAACCTCGCCTGGTTTACTAGTTCACTAGTTACTAGCCAGTCCTAAGCCCGGGTAAAGAGGAAAGGTTGGGCATAGGGCTAGCAACCCTACCCCGTAAAACAAATCCAACCACTAAAGAAACTTCAAAGCACAAACAAAATATTAAAAATAAAAACAAACTTATTCCTCGCTGGAATCGGAGAGGCGAAACGACGCCGGGTGCTGAAAGCCTTCGGGAAACCAATTGGCCAATATGTCTTCTCTCGATGAAAGCGAAAGTAAACGTAGGGACATGGAATGTCCCAACAATGTTTCAACCTACCAAGGCTGCCCAGATTGCAAACGAGATGAGGTATCACAGTGAAGTGTAAGGAATTTGCGAAAGCAGGTGAAATGAGAGTGAACTCTCCAAACTGTCAACTGGATAATCAATAATCTACTCCGATATTCTCACCCAGACGACAACCACGAGCACACTGAGTTTTGGAGTGGCTATCATGATGTCCCCAAGAGCATGGAAGGCTCTCATGCAGTGGGAACCAATCTCCTCCTCCAGGATCATGACAGCAAGATTCAACTCAAAAGAAAGGAAGGTCACAGTCACACAATGCTACGCTATGCACCTACAAATAATTCAGATGAAGAGAAGAAGGAGGAATTCTAAAGATAACTGCAATCAGCACTGGGCAAGACCTCAGTTGGCGATATAAAAATTCTAATGGGCGACATGAATGCCAAACTGGGAGCAGACAACACAGGAAGAGAATCAACCATGGGTCGAGAAGCACTCGGTGAGGTGATGAACGAGAATGGAGAACTGTTTGCAGAATTCTGTGCATTCAACGATTTGGTGATTGGAGTCAGGCAGTGTGTTCAAGCATAAGGATATCCACAAAGCGACATGGATTTCCCCAGACACCAAGACACACTAAAATCAGATCGACTTCATCTGACTGTGAAGAAAGTGGAGACGCAGTCTACTTGACACAAGGTCAAGAAGAGGAGCAGATGTAGGCTCAGACCACTATCTAGTGCAAGGAACCTTCCAAATCAAGTTGAAGTGATGATAGACCACAGTTCAAGTTGAACACCCAGATTAGAAATTGAACTGAAGGACGGAACTACAAAGGACATCTTCATGTCAGTCAGGCAGTCATCAGGACAAAATAGGAGATATTGAGCAACATCCTCAAAGAAACCTGTGTGGAAGAACACTGGAACTCCCTGAAAGAGACATGGAAAGAAACCTGCATAGCCGTATTAGGAAGGAAGAAGAAACAAGACGAGACAAGGAATGGATTTTGACGGACACATGGAAGCTGACAGAGGAAGGAGAGGAGGATGGTGAAGCAGAAGATGAACCAGTGCTGTGCCTGGATGAACAACGAAAAGAGGAACTGAACACAATGTATAAAACACTACACTAGACAAAGAAGTGAAGAAGAGTGCACGCAAAGACAAAAGACACTCCCACGACACACTGGCAAATGAAGCAGAACAGGCTGCAGGTAGCAGAGATAGAGAGAGACATGACAACACTGTATCAAATAACCAGGTTACTATCTCGGAGGGAAGAGATCAACGCAGATGAAACCAATAAAAGATGATGAAGGAAGTTTAATTGCCAAAGAAGAGAAACAAAGGAAACGATAGGCAGACCACTTCAAAAAGCTCTTGAATCGACCACCACCTTCACTTAGTGCAGATATACCACCTGCAGCCCAGCCACAGAACTACAAATGAACATAAATCCTCCAACAAAAGTCGAAGTCCTGAGCCCCATAAACCTACTGAAATGCGGGAAAGTTGCACGATCAGATGGAATCCCACCAGAAGCACTGAGAGTAGACGCAGAGACAACAGCAGTGGACATGCTCACACCACACCACTACTACAGAAGGTGTGGAAGGAAGTGAAGGTACCTGCCGATTGATGGGAAGAAGGGTTACCTTGTCAAACTGCTGAAGAAGGAAGACCTCAGTATTTGCAAGAACTGTCGCAGAATCACGCTCCCGTCCACCCAGAGCAAGCACAATATTATGCCGCATCATCATGGAGAGACTAGAGGATGCACTGGATTCAAAACTACCACCAGAACAGGCTGGCTGGCTGGCTGACTGGATTCAGGAAGTACAAATCATGTGAGGACCAAATTGCAACGCCACACTACGCATCATCATAGAACAGAGTATAGAATGGCAGTCAACTCAACTCTACCTCAACTTCATCGACTTTGAGAAGGCCTTTGACAGCGTTGACCTACAGGTAATTTGGCAGGCAGTTGCTTCAACACTACGGAATACCGCCAACCTTTATCAATCTCATTCAACAACTATATGAAGACGCCACATGCCAGCCAAGCAATTCACAATGGGAAGCTCAGTGATGCTTTTGAAGTGAAGACAGGAGTGAAACAAGGCTGTCGTCTACTATCACCCATGATATTCCTTACAGTGTTGGACTGTATCCTGCAACAAACAGTGAGGAGCTATGAGAAGAGGTGGATACGCTGGACTGCGGAAAAGAACCTAGAAGATTTGGATTTCGCCGATGACTTATATCTAATGTCACACACACTTGAAGATCTGCAGGCGAAAGCTGACAAGTTGGCGGAAGAGGTGAGGCAGCGAAGACGGGACTTCAAGTGAATATAGAGAAGACACAGGTGATGAAGATACCCAACCAACATCACCACCACCACCAACAACAACAGCAAGCTCCAATCACCATCAACAGCAGAAACTTAAAGGCAGCACTGTTTCCACTACAGTTGGCACAGGCACAGACGAGGACGTGAAAGCCAGCCAGGATTGGAAAAGCAAGACAGGCGTTCATTAGCCTGAAACCAGTGTGGAGATCTTCTGCACTCCACTCAGCATGTGGAACCACATCCGGATTTTCAACACCAATGTCAAGTCAGTGCTTCTATGTGATGGCTCAGAGACTTGACGGGTTATGAAAGGGATTTCCAACAAACTACAGACATTCATCAACAACTGCCTATGCTGGCTCGTCACTGAAGCTGAGATGGCCAGAAAGAATAAGCAACAAGGAACTCTGGTCGGGCAACGAACCAATCAAGAAGCTATCGCTCAACAAATATGCAGAAGAAAGTGGAGGTGGATTGTGCATACGCTGAGAAGGTCGACTGGGGACATCATGCGTCAGGCCAGGCACTTGAGTGGAACCGAATTGGGAAGCGACGAGTTGGACGTCCGAGGATGACATGGAGGAGATCGTACGAAGAGGAAATGAGAGCTTCTGGGCTGTCGTGGAGACATGTTCAAAATATTTCAGAGAACAGAGCACATTTGAGACGTGCTACTGAGGCCTTATGTTCCATTAGGAACCCTAGGGACAAATAATAATAATAAAGCAATGCAAGAATTAAACAGTACAGTTTCGGATGAAGAAGAGTGACTAAAACAACCCAGACGAAAAACAAAACCTAATAAGATTATAAGCATTACTACTAATTAGTAGCAAAAATAAAATAAGCGTTAAAGTACAGATGATATGAAGACAAAAAGGTAACTGGAATAGAAAGCAATTCAAACTGAGTAACAAACAGATACAACAGTATCCCACTATCATTTTGCTTCAGATAACGATAAAGCATACATATCTTCAGAATGCACAAGGTTATCTAACAGTCAGTAGTATGCAGTGTAGAACACCATTTTCTTGTTCATTATGAAAAATAAACCTAAAAAACAATAACCTAAGGATGGTAGTCTTTTTCAATACTGTCCTCCATGCACATTAATATCAGTAACACATTCTTTTCTTGGGCTTAACGGACTATCCCTCTTATGTACTTAATTATGGTGAGAAAATTTATGAAGTATTCAAACACGGCAAGGAGTGGATAAACTAAAATTCAAATTTTCTTCTTAAATAAGAGGAATAATCATCAAATGAAGACTGAATAACATATCGAATTCAATTCTTTTTGAGTCACAGTTTTAACTCAGAATCCTACGTAAAAGTTTTTCTCTCAATTGTTTTACTTGTTTAGGTATCGAATTTAAGTCCTGCTTTAAATTCTAAGCCTATATTGATGTTAGATGGTTGGAAGTTATCGGTAGGTAGTTCTGCGCCTAGGTTTCGTGCTTGTTGGCACTCGTTAGCAAAGCGTACCTGTAACTTCTATGGGACCGATGTTCACTCTAAGATTTAAACCATCATCAGCCAGTCCTGCAGTAATCGACGTTACTGTTGAGCTATTTGGGCCGTAATTGACATCCTGTTGGAGTGTATTAAATACAGTGGTTGGTTATTAGACAGCAAACAATTTCATGTTCTCTAGTCCACGATGCTGGTCAAAGTCTAGTGATCATGTTGCAATGGGATCATCAGGCTAAAACTTTGGTCAGCACTGAGTAGTATGAAACTGATTACTCTCTAGTAACCAATCAGTGTAAGTCTTTACTTGACCAATCTGTCTGTTATATCACACAGGGTTACAATTTCTCTTTTCTTTTGTACGTACAATTTTAGGCGGCTTTTTGGATCTGAATACACTAAAAGTTTAGCTGATCAAAATATTTTATTCCTGAACCTTTCACTTGAGTGAGGATTTATGCGCTCAGTGTTTATTAAACCTCGTTATACGAAAGCAAACTCATCTCTATGCAGGCGCGCATGTTTGAGAATTCGAAAAATAAGTGACAAGACCTGATTTTAAGTCTTCTGCATCGTGCTTTTTCATTGACTACGAACTTCAGCGATCGACGCTAGCTGTGTCAATAATCCCGTTTTGTATCATATTTTCTTTTTGAAATGGCTAACTGTAGGAAAGTAAGAAAAATGTGGTAAACAACTAATTTTTATTCTTACTTCCTTGTGAAATCAGGAATATATGTATGATCTCCTTACATGCATCATGAAATTCTCGCAAAACCTTAGACCAGCTGACTCCCTATTAGCGATGACATCGTAAAGTGAGCTGCTTCTTTTAACTGAAAAGCAATTTGCTAACCAGTACATTAGGGATGACACTTTTGTCACAGTATTGTATACATAAACAGAGAAAAATGAGTTCAGGTCGTCTGCAAAAGGATACACACATAGTTAGGATGACCTAACAACTGAACTAAGAGTAGAGTTGTTTAGGTTTTTCGAAGTTATGACAACACACAAATAAGAGTACATTCGAATTGATAAACGTGATCTCAAGGGAGTTATAAAAACTAAATGAAGGGTAGTACAATTTTTAAGATTTCGAATATTGCAGGGACTTAATCCATCTGCATATCTACATTTACTTTTGAGTTGTATTAACAGTAATCTTCACCAGTCAATTGCTAGAAACTCCACACCTCTGTGAATAATACTTAATGAAGTAGTTGATGAGCAACACGTTTTCACAGCTTTTTCTCAAACTGATTCTATACTAACTAACACTGTTCATCAAGGTAAGTGAGAGCTTGGTGTGTGCAAGAAATGCTCATGCCACCTTACTCAGTGACAGTTCATAACTTCATCAACCAAAATGCCTTCTCTAATCACTGCTATCTGCTTAGTCATAGTATCTGTCATTTCATTATTCTATAACATCTGGAAAATACGTCGAGGAAACCCATGGTTACGAAACTATGGTATTTTCTTGTCTATTGACTTTAAATTATGATGTTTCACAGATATGATGCTTGAGATGACTGACTATTACATGAGGTTATGACTGTTTGAGAAGCATTCTTCACAACGCTTTAGTCTACTTTATATATGTCTTTCCAGGTAACAGTTTAGCTGTTTTACAGCAAGTATCTTAAATCAGCCAAAATAACTGATGGATTTTACCGAGTAACAATGCTGTCTTAATTTATTGCTCTTTCATCACATGATATTGCTTACTGTCAAGATATAGACTGTCATCCATTTTACATTTAAGCCCTATTCTCTTCCAACCTTCAAACAAATCAAAATGAATGCTTTTGCAAATACCAGAAAGCAGCTGAAAATTTACAGACAAACGGAAGGAGTAGTAACAAGATCACCAATTTCTTCAGTCGTAGCAGATATATTTATGAACACTTGAAAACATACGGCTTTATAAAGCTCAAACCTGCCACTAAGAAATGTTGGTGATTCGTGGATGACAAGTTTACTGTGTTGAAATCAGAACACATCGACAGTTTCTTCCCATACGTAAATTCAGTAGTAGGTCCAATCCAGTTCACCTACAAGGGAGATAGTGAACAAAGAGAATCAGATACGTTGGATTACAAAGTAAAAGGAAGAACGAACAGTGTCTGCGGGGAACTAGCACATTCCAATGGGTATCTGTGCTTCAAGTAGTCCTATCCAAAATCAGTTAAGGTGGGTTTCGTGAAATGTTTAAATAACGGAGTGGGGAAACTGACCAATCAATGCAATGACTTCAATAAGGGATTGAAGTATATAAGTGAAACACTACCAGCTAGTAACTATCCGTTTGAGTTTATTGAAAATTTCATTAGAACTTATAAGAAAAGAAGTAATAACAATAATATGAACATAAATAATAACGATAACGCAAGTAGAAAGGAGTTTAAGGCCTCTGCTGAATTATCATATGAGAATGGAACATCTGAAACTGTACATAGAACTCTGAACAAGGCTAGAGTTAGGGTGACATTCCAACCTTTAAACACATTCAGAAATAAGTTTGTTGGCTTAAGGATCCGATAGACTAACTAAGCAAAATAACTTGATCGACAAATTCTTTGTAGTGACTGTGAAGTCAAGTACACAAGACAAACGAGCAGATTGGGGTCGGTTAGGTTATCGAAACATAGGACTTTAGCCAAATGTAGAATGATAGACCCCAAAAGAATCAATAATTTAGAAAAAAAACGGTTACCGCAGTGTAGTGTGTGTGTTAACACAACCACACGGTGGAATGGAATAAAATCACCATACTTAAGTCTAATATTGTCAGTCGGAAAAGGACTGATTATTGAATCTTTGTTTACCGAATCAACACTTGTGCAGATGGATGTACCAAATAAGTGCCCATGAATACCTTCATTCTTTCCTTCTCATTGAAATGTGCTTAGATGAATGGCAAACAAATGCAACTATACGAGTTCCAGTAGGGTAGTATGTTTCCACTTCAGAATTGACCACCATTTTCTCATTACTTGATCCACACTAACAAGCCATAGAATATTTGGTAAACTTTTGTGGAACAAATAGTGCTAAATAGATGATTTCGTTCAGTAAGGGGATCCAATTTTAGACCCATCAGATGGGGATATAAATTGCAGAAGGAAATCTTTGCAGCTAAATATCTTTGGTTGATAGAGAACACGTGATGGCGAATCTTACTAGATAGCAGATTTTACCAGTCTTTCCTATAAGTGATTTGAAGTGAACAGTGTCCAAAGAGCTGGCTTACAATAAATCAATTGATGCGCCGCTTCAATTATTTTAAAGGTCACGTTTTAAGCTTTGAGCACTGCTTTTTCATTAAATTTGATCATACTACTTACAAAGTGGCATTCTGAACCTCAGAAGCGGCGATAAGATTCAAACATGTGATTCCCTGCCTAGAAATGTATTGTCTATGCCAGTATGCTACCCTGGTTTTATTTCAAACAAAAAAACCCTGTGAATATGTCTATTGGAAATCCCCATCTACGGTAACTTTTGTTTTTATCATTCAGCAGAAATGAATTATTGTTGAATTGACATTCTTCGTATCCAGCACTTATCACTTTCATGTGCTGTTTTGTATAGAAACTCGGAAGTTAATATGGGCTAACATAGCGAAGGTAAACAGCATTATAGCAAATGAAATTGACAAACAAAACGTTTTTTCATAACTTCAAAAGAGTTTCTAAAGTTTGACAACATAACTGAGATCTATAACCAAACAGAAAACCTTAGTACCAACTGTCATAAAAGAGGAGCAACTTGAGAACGATACATAAACTACTCTGTTACTGGCTACAATAATTCTAACGTTGCTTTCTTTTTATCAAGTTCATAATATTACCTCAACATTTATTCACTAACATTATATTGGGTTATGGGCGTATGCAGAAATACCACCACAAGTACTTTCTCGAGGCTAGCTTCCCCTAACCTATATCAACCAAATAAGTTTGGGATACCAGCTTAGTAACTTGCATTTTATGAGAAATAAATTAAGATAAAGTATGCTACTACCCTGCTCTTCTTTTGAAAGTATACCACTTGAGACGTAGACTAAACCAGCCAAAAGTAATATAAGTTAGGAGAGTAGGCAGTTTATGACTATCTGAACAATACAACAGTAAAATCATATCTTGCTATGACAAGATTTTCTTGTTAAAACACTAGTAAAAACTAAGTGATATGTTTCAACAAGTCTGTCTAATACGGAGACATGTCATAATCTGTTAAGTGGGTGGATCACTCAACAATTGCTCTGAATTGTTTGTGACATTTAAATGTCAACACATTATTGCTTATCGAGAAGAAAACCAGGTGAATGAAAAAGTTCAGTAAATCAATGACCTATATTTTGGTCAAGCCATATAAAACATACTTCATGTTTGTTTTAGTTGCAGTCATCTTTTTATGAATCACTTCGTCTACAGTTATTTTGAACCATTTGCAGTTTGGACACTAGATATTTCATAGAAATGCAGTTCCAAACCTGATGTTATAGAATTAGAAAGATTAGGCACTGGGACAATATTTTATAACAGAACTATGTTTATACAATCCAAATGGCTTATGAAAGTCTATATCCGACGTGTATTGACCTCATCGAAGCCATCTATTCAGAAAATGAATCCTGTACAAGTTATTGCCTCCCAGACTACTAATTTATATCTGCATAAATGGAAAAATCCAAGTCTTAAATGAGCGTTAGGAATAAAGTGGAATAAGCGGGTAATACTAATTAAGACATTACATATTACACTATCTAACAGCTGTATTTAACACTGACTTAAAATCAGTGAGCAGGAGAAAAAGGCAATCTAATCGTAACAAGACCAAAGTAACTGTAAAAATAATTGGGTCAGAAGCTAATAGAGAGAGAATTAACACACCTTTCACGTCCATAGTTTTGGTCAAAAAAGGTTGATGTCAATAGCCTCTATGAAAAGAAACATACTGATTTCAACTTATAGGGTAACTTTAATCTTATTAACAAATATTCGCTCATGTGTAGCCTAATCTTTTTGCTAGCACTAATTTTCCAATAACTTTCATTATTGGTTGTATTGTGTTCTCTGAGCTGGGTTGTTTAATCGTAAAGCTTTCATCGTCCTCCTAGACAACATCATCATCACTAACTTCAGCATGAAGCCAGCTGTCAATATCTCTCCGTGAGTGATTTAGTAGCTTGCCTTGACGAAGCGGTCAACTCAACTTACATCAAAATGTAACCACTTTTTACGTTAAGGGTTTTATTAACTCTTTTCCAGGGTACCTAATTTTCCAGAAAGCAATTTATATGTTTGCTAAATTTTACTAACTAATGAGGTCAGTAATTGGACAATTTCATGAAAACACTGTCGACTTAATGTATTATCTAGCTGAACGTCTTATGCTCTTCATTATCTAGTGATTGACTTATCATTTTGATATACGACACGTTATGAAAGAGTATAATAAAAAGTGTATCGTTAGTGATTTGAATATAACCAAGTTAAAAATAGATGAAAATCAGCTAAGGACAACAAAATTATGAACTTGAACATACAAAAGAATATGCTTAATACAGAATAATAGTTAATTATCAGCTTGTAAATAGTACATTGCAAAATCTCTGGATGAAGAAAGTGTGTTTTTGTGTTTGTGTGTGTATGTGTATGCGTGCACGTTTATTAAAGACTTCCATTTCATCTTGTCAGAACGTGAATAATTAGTAGTTGCTATGCTGAAAAGAATGTTGGTTACCTTAAGTTTAATTTCACCTTAAGATGGTGTAAACATTTTGTTCACCGAACAAAAAATGCAAAATGGTAAACAAGTTTCTCTGCATTTGTTGATTACCCAGCTGTATATAAACGAATCTTCTGCACAAAACTACATCTTCATCACTACAGATTTGCACAAATCAACTAAAACCTAAAGGTAAGATATCTGTTTTTATTCTGTAATGGTTAAGATTACAAACCAGAATGTGTAAGTCAACCGGTATTACTCTGAAAGTTACAGGGGATCAAATGCAAGTTTCACAGATGACGATCTAAACTATTATTCTGATGTCTAGAATCGGTAACATCGATTAGCTTTGAGCGTTTGTATACACTGATATCTAAGCCCAGGAGTGATTATGATTTTTGTTTGAAAGTACACAGAACAAAAACACCTTTCCCATAGCTCTAACTCATATTTGGTTTTTGAATGAAATGCTGAGAATCGTTGAGACTAAAGACGTTGCAATCACTTACGTATGATTTCCTTGATAATTATCATTGGATTCCTACTTCTTAGTGGGTTGACAGTTCTAAATAACAGATTAAAAGAAATTGACACTGAACAGTACATTACATAAAAGCACTATACTCTCTGGGTAGAAATCCGTAGGTAAATTCGAAAAAATAATGATGATATTGTTATTTAATAGGAATATTTATAGACATTCTCCAATAGCAAGTTATTTCAACACGAACGCACAGTTTAGTCTAAATTCAAATGACACCAGCTTTTAAATCATGCATAGCTACCACTCTTCACAGTACTCACACTGCATATTCGCTAAGGGAAGGCAAAATTTTAATTACTTAGATCGAAAAGCCATTATATATATATATATATATATATATATATATATATTTCTTTAGGCATAATTTCTCAGTAAGAAAGTTATGGACTGTACCAATAAGTTATTTAGCCATAAAATATCTGACATTATGACTAAGTGACGTCAGTTTGAAAAAGCAGGACATCACTTTCATGGCTAAAGGTACATCCTTGTGCTGAGTCCCAATATGTAAAGAATCTGGGTTCAGGGTTTTTGGTTAAAATAACACTTGGCCATAGATGAACCATTATATATATATATATATATGCATAATTAGTGAAATTTAAAGGCTTTACTTTGCTTGTCATAGTCTTGCCACTCATAATACTTGTTCTAACCCTTATAAAAAAAACCAGAAGCTAAGGGATCTCAAGGGGAAAAGTGTTCAAAGTGTGAATAATCCTAATGTATAATCTATGGTTGCTATAAAAGAAAAAGTCGTCCTCAAACTGCAGTCAGTCTCTATCGGTTTTCATAACAATACAGAGCTCCGTTACTTCCAGGTCACTTGGAAATTGTAAATCTTACCCTAGATTGAATACAAGACGCTTTTCGGATGACAATAAGTTTAATTAAACACATGTGATCTTTCTATGCTATCTTTTTACTTTCCACATAAATCCTCTCCAAAGTTTAAAACACCATGCGATATGGCTTAGGGTGCAAAGCTTGTTAAAAAGAGGCTTGAATACCTTGATTAACTCTGAGCAGGATTTGGTACTTTTACTTAAAGTGTATGAAGTAGTTTTGATTTGATGAAATGCTCCTAGGCAAAGATATTCTTAAAACTTTAGTTGTCAACTTCTTATACCTTGATATATTGACTTTTATAGTGAAAATTTAAAAGATATGTATCACTTTTTCTTTATTTCTACACTACTGAAACTCAGATATAGCTATAAAATGTAAGCTGCATACTCTTAAAAAGTAATGTGATTTTTTTCTCATTCTTCTGTGCTAATCGTTTTTTAACAACTGAGTGCTTTTTTTACTTGAAAGGGGAGGAGGTGATGACAAAAAACAGTAAGCTGAAAACTGTTAAACTTGAAAATTTATTTCACTCAATAAAATGAAGGATATGTGTCGTTATCTGACAAACACTAGTGAAATTCGTTAACTTTTCAACACCAACGATTGGTGCTCATCCTAATAGGCAGTTCGTGGTGTCAGTGATTCATATAGTTTTGTAGTATCATTGTTATTCCAAATCTTGGGTGCTAAGTGTGATCATTGCTGTTCTTGCTGAAATATTTTAACTCAAAAACTCTATCTAAATACACTAAAGGTGCATATATCTGTTCAGAAATACTTGACAAACACCAGTGAATCCATTCCGTTTTAGTGAACAGAATATAACCACGTTACATTTCTACACTTTTCTTAGTATGTGACCATTTGGAATATTTTTTAAAAATGCTTAGTACTCGCTATCGTGTAGCAATTCAAAAACAATTTGAGAAATTGACACTGTTTCGTTACCGTACGTTAGGTTTGACTAGAAATCTAGGCAAATTATTGGATTTGCTGAGGTAGTTACCAGGTTTGAAGCTCATTCCACCTATCACCGCTTAGTAAGTCATGTAGTGTCACTAGCTCATTGCCTATTACAAGAACATGCACACGTTTGCTCAGTAACCTTTGGATAGTGAAATATGCCTGACATTGAAATCATTACCACCAACCTAATCATTAGATGAAACTACTTCAGACAGTGCAAATACATATTTCAAGGTGTCTTAGTTAGAATATTTGTTATACAAGACAACAATAATTTATCTTTACTCATGATTGTGAATTCATTTTTTCACAGCCTAGGATAACGTCCATCTCTGTCTGATCTTAGTTATATTGTTATTATAATACTGAAATCCTTGAACCAAAAAAACAATAATACTGGCGTTAACAGTATTTACAATGAATATTTATGTTGTCAACAAAGACTTGAAATGTCAATCAGGTTATACAATCCTGCGTAGCCATGTTGTCTGGTAAACCAAGATGTTAACGAGTCGAAAAGATAAAATATGTTTATTTAAACTGTTCACTGATTCAATTTATGTATACTTTAACGTTTAATATAGTATATCCTTAGTATTTGCTCAAATTTTATGATGAAGGAAACTCTGTTAACTTCAAACGATCATCCATTCTTAAAAACAATGAAGTTAGATCCATAAAGATGAACTCAAAATATTGTTCCAAACAAGCTATCTTCAGAGAAATGTTTCTTTTCCACCTGAAAACAACTGAAGAAAAATAGGTCAAAATAATAAACCATATCGCAAAGAACATTCAAGAAGAACATTAACTAAACAGGATAGAATAAATCTTACCGAAAAGTTAGACGTATATTTCCATAGCGGAAAAATGGTCAATTCCATTCATTCTGGGTCATTCACTGATTCCACGTGTCTGCTAACTGCGTATATAAAAATCTTTAGGTAACAGAAGTTGAAATGAGTACTATCTTAAGAAAATAAAATACACCACATTCAGTTTTACTCAAAATTATGGCCTAACAATAAGTATCTTCTCGACTGGGATCTGATATGAGCATGAATATAATGGTTTTCGCTTTCATCTTTCTAAATCAGTTATCAAATGACAAAACAATTTCCACAGTGTTTTTGCATAGAAAATAACTAAGGCACATTAATGATATAATATTTTAAGAATTCAGTCTGCAAAACGAAAGTTGTTAGTGTGTTGTCTATTTTTTACAGTTCTGGCAGCTCTAAAGAACAGTAAGACTTCATAATGATAACTTTAAATAAGTTTTTATTTACTCCGTTTGACACAGATATTTCTTGATGATAGATTTCAGTTAGTCATTTTAGTCGAAGACAATGACATTTCTCCCTCATCAGAAATTATATCTTCGATCAATGGATCAAAACTAAGGCGAAGTTTTACTCATTCTGACTACACTCAAAACTGACTGGAAAATCTATTCAACATTCAGACAGTGAAGCCTGATCAAAACTCACTGATCAGGTCTAAGTGTCGCTCTTTGCCTAAAATACTACAATTTTATGTAGTTTTGTTGATAAATTTTACAACTTTTTTACTGGCTGTTTTAGTACTTTTCTCTGGTTTCTTTTCCAAGCACATACAACAACTGATTATTTTGAAGCGGTGAACGATTTCTCTAAACCAAGTTACTAAACAGGAACCCCACAAAGAAATCTGTCTATCTCTATGACAGGATTCTAAGAATAGATTCCAATTATGCCTGATCATTTCATATTATTTGGTGGAAAGCCAAAGTTAAATATCTTTGCACATGTGGAATCATGTGAGATTTATTAATTTAGCGCAAGAACCCAAAAGATACCTCTTATCGTCATCCTGTTTAACCATTCAATCTAAGAATAGTTTATAACTCTCTGATTTGATCTTGACTACGGTCATGTAAAATATAATGAGCATAGACGATATGCGCATAAGAACACTAAGAAATCCTTCAGTCAAAACCAAGTTATTCAACTGAGTCAAATTTCACTTAGATATAATCTCCAAAGCAGATCATCAAACGAGTTTCGTGTGTATCAGAAACTAAATATGAATAAGAATGTAGCAGAAATGATGACAAAATAAGCAAAGTCCTACATTGAAAGATACGAGTAAATTAGTCCTTATTGGTTCCTCATAACTGTGTAAATATTCTCGAAATGATGAAAATCACATTCCAATGAGACTCGTTCAAAAGCTCTTTATCACCTACGTTTTGACGACTAGAAAAACACTCAATACGGATAGTCTTTTGGTAGAACTTAGGCTTGATTTTTCATTCTTTTTGATAATAAATATAGTTTTATACCTTTGTTCAGAAATGATATCACAATTGTTTTTATGGTAAACTTTTGATGCATTTCTGAGTACTCTGTTTGTTTATAATTGCTGTATTCAATTCACAGAAGGTAACTAGTCTTATTCTATCTCCTTACATTTACAGCAAAAAAGAACACGACAAACAGTAAGAAATAATCTAAATTCATTAAAATGGACTCTTTCTTATGATATAAACCAAGAACAAAAGGTGGTGAATATTGTTCAACAAAACTTGATGAGACAGAATAAACAGCTGTGAACGCTTTTACATCATTGAAATACTTAGTTGCAGATAAATTTGCTGAATAGGATATCTTCAGACATCTAAAATCCAAAGGTCCTCCAATACGCAATTGATTTAAACCTTCTTTTGTCAAGACATGATGTCATTCCAATGAAACACAACAAAAAAGGCTTTCACCTATAAGTTATCTCAGTGATAATTTCAGCATGCCGACTTCCTGGTGATCCCCTTCAACAATCTAGTATCAAATAATGATCGAGCACAAAACATGCAACTGTTGTGTCAGCAAGGTCCCGGTGATAAACACCTACTTAAGGTCACTAAGTGTGATATCTGACAGAAATACAGCATGAACTAGTGAAATATAATACCGAAATCTGCAGATCAGTATGAAAAATTTCCCATTTGCTTCTTCAAACCTAGAATAAGATTTTCAGATCTGATAACCCAGGTGTGGCTCCTAGAGACATGGTTTCTTGATATTTTGTCTGATGCTGCAACAAATGTTGAAGGAATATAGAATTACAAATAACTTCATGTTGTTTGAATACTTGTAAAAAACAACCATCCTGCTAGTTAGATAAGGTGAGCTTTTGTTAGTAGACCAGTTTCTTGTAAAGTAACGGTGATATTGACTGTAACAGAGCTTTGATCCCTTCGGGTTTGCAACCAGCTACCTCAATATTTTTAGTCTGATGTCCTATCAATCGAACCGCTGAAAACATTTTCTTCATTTGTCTCAATTTACTTCAGTCATACCGGAGGATGCCTGTTTTAAATATACACTGCATCTTTCTGATTTTCATGTTAAAATTTATTTTTTCCTCAAATGTTTTCTTTTCAAGTGGCTCTAAGGAAGGGTAAGATAGCAAATTTTGATTTTATGACCTACCCCGACCATCATTTATCATTTTACTAAATACTGGTATTTGTAAACTTAAGGAAAAAGGACCATCACAAAAAAAGGTGAGTAAATATTTTATTAGCATACTAAATGCTTCCTATATTCACTTCTGTGAATATATAGCCACCAGACTGACCAAGGTATCATCAAAATTAGAGTAATTATCTTTGCTGCACTGAATGAGAGTTGAATGTTATGTCTGATAACATTTGATGAATAAGTGAATAAATAAACCATCTTCAAATTCATTAGTCTCAATCAGAAATTGAACTACGCTGCCGTTTGCTAATTCACTTTGCTACAAATGAGTTTTCTGTGCCCAATTCTACATCTCATAAAATTCTATTACTAACAGAATGTCCCACCAGAGTAAAATAAAATGAACAGTCGCTTATAAATAACGTAGACTAGAAAGGTGAATCTTCTGCATTCACCAGTATCAGAAACTGATATTTGTTCATAAGCATTAAATCAAAAGGGTTGACAGCCTCGTCGGCATGAATTTCATTACGTTAAGCATTCATACAGTGAATTACCTGAAAATAAACAAACATTAATTATAGCTTAGCAACTCAGATCTTAATCATCTAATTGTTGCACGAAATTTCGTAAATATTCTCTCCATTTACATCATTCTTCTGGAAATGAACCAAATACACATTTCTTGGAACAAGTAGATTAAAAGCCTTTGGAAGCTCACAAGGGTACCTGGATTTTTTTTACGGGTTACTTCACAACATTTAATTTTTTGTAATCTTCCAAAGTAGGTCTTAATAATATTACTTACCTGTTATCTTGATGAGCAAACTTTTTAGCTAAGGTAAAAGAAGAAGGAATAAATCTCATTTTAGATAAAAAGTGAAATTAGTCTCAAAACTTTAAAAAATACTGTGCAAGTTGCCTATGTGATGTAATTACTACATCTACTACTACCACTACTACATTACTACAACTTGTCACCCGTAATTTCAAAACACGCCTTGTATCAGGGTACCTTACGACTGTATACATTTCAGTCTAAATAACCTGTTAGAATGTACATTTCTTATGTGAAATGATGTCTTAGAAAGACTTTATTTCCTATGTTACCAGTAGAAATGTGACTTGCTCCAACTCACTGTATCATTCTAAACGAGATATTCTCAGCACAACGGATGTACAATCTGCAACTTTAATTGATAAAACAATCTGAACAGCATATCTGGCCTTTCGTAATGCAACATAACAGTTACCGAGCTACAAGTGATGCTATTTATATTTTTTTGTGAACTACTTAAAAACACTCTAATGCCTTACCCAGATACTTACCACATCTCATGACCTCTAAAAATAAAAAAATTGTGTGTACAAAATGCTTTTTGAGGAATAAAATAAAGAATTTTTTATCTGAAAACTTCTTATCACTTTATGCCCAGTTCACAAGTCATTTCAACTGATATTCTACTTGTTACCGATTGAAAACGTTTATAGGTCAGGTTCAGGAAAACGGTGAGTACACCATTTCTGTTTTCGCTAGACATTGTTGCAGTTATTTTTTCTCATACCAGGAAATATTATGTGATTTGCGAGCATTTGAGTTATTCCGTACACATAATGTACACTATATTTCAGATATTTCAGGCGTTAACCTGAATTAACCAAGTTTCTACGGGTAATAACAATCATTTAAACCAAATTCTAGAAAACCAGAACAGGGAAAGTGACCTTTGTTAGAAACTTTCGATTGCCTAAGCCCAAACGAAAGCCTTTCCAAGAATAAAATTAATTTTTTCTTGAGCACTATGCTCACTTAGTAACTTCGAAGAAATCTGAATGTCTTTCGCCACAAATATTTTAACTAGATGTCGCATAAATTTTCACAACTAGTCAACATTAGATTGGAAACCCCGTCTGCAACTGAGCGTTGATATGCATTCACCTTGTCATGCGAGACCAAATTCAGGACTATTAAATTCAGTGAAGATCACCTTACCATCTAACCGATTGATTCTAATCTGACAGAACAAACTTCTAATCTTTGTTATCTATGGATGAGAATGCATGAAGTCCCAACTAACAAGCATAAAGGTCAAATCTGTTCGCTGTAATTTTCCAAGGATGCATTGTCTATGTGGAATGAACATCGTATTCAAGCCCAACAGTCTCCTAGCCATACGAATTCGGTCAACTACTACAGGTTATAGGGTGTAAAAAGTAATGGTAAATGCATTGAAAAAAGTAACATTCAGTATTCGCATAAACTGACATAACCCACAAATCTGTTTTGGAAATCGATTCTTGTTAAACCGATTAGCTCTGGATCATCGTAAGTTAATTTTATTAATACTAATCCAAATAATATTATTAGCAATTCTAGTTTGTTTGCTAATCTAACAACATTAAAAAGCAACATCTTATTTAGATTACTAATTTATTGTCTTCCTAATAAATTCCTTCGAAGCACTTGTGCTATCTTCTGGCTGCGCCAATCTTGACTAATTTCATGGAGAAGTTGTAAAAAGTAACAAATTTCTAATAAGAAAATCCAGAAAATATTGCTAAATCCCTTAAATAATACGAAGAAAGTTCTTCTTCACGCATAAACATACTTCTGATACCTAGTAATAAGACGGATAATCTAAGGAAGAAGATTTTGAGTATATACAAGTGGATTTTGTCCATTATGGAAAGAACGGTTATCGCTGATATCATAATTTACATTGATATCTGGGAAGTAGATGAGAACTTGAAAACAAGGGATTGTTCTTATGGAGTCGTTGTCCATCGTCAGTACTTTTATGATCCGACAATTATGCTCAGATGAACAGTTTCAAAACAGCATACAGTTTGAATAATCCCTAATGTATATAGTGACCTCACTAGGGAAATTCTCCAGTTTCATGTGTATAATTGAAGATATCGTCAATACTGCAAACTAGAGGATAACTTGCAGATGTGAAATTGGAAAGTATTTGGCCGTACTTTACATAATTATTTCACTGTTCACAAATATATTCTTTCTTAATTTTCGGCCTCATAATTACAGTGAACACAATCCTCTTATGGAATAGCCAAAGTTGTTACACATGTTCCATTGACCTAATTTCATTCACCTAAATCTACCTGTTTTTCCCTTATGTTTCATATTTAAGACAGACGACTCTTTAATGGTTGTTTATTCAGGCAGATATTTTTAATTTTCTAGTCCCTTTGAGGCCTAAAATTTAATCATAGCTTCTACTTCTTGTACAATGAAAACCCAGCATCATGAAGTTTCCTTCCATTCCGAATTTTAAGACGTTATCATTGTATATTACCAGTGATAGCTTACACAAGCCTTCTTAGCTATGTTCTATTCTAAACCATTTAGATCTCATGGAAAATACTTCACTGGTAGATTGAAACATTTGCAAATCTCTACAGCATTTTAAGAATTCACACTTATATACAGTAGTAACTAACGGAAGTATGGCTTACTGACATGTTTTATTGAAAAACATTGGTTTGAAATCACCCATTTTCTAACGGAGACCACCAAGGAGAAAATAAGTTCAGTTGTGGTTCCAAGGTCGTTAATATCAAGGTCTAACACCACCAGCAGCAGCATTTTAAATCTGGAAGCGCTAGACTGTTGTCTCGTCTACCTTGGATTCTTCAGCACTGTGCATCAACGACCCCGTAAGATATTAAGTCCAGGACTGTAAAGTGTTGTTATATAGGTATGGGTCATTGCTTCCCCACGAATGTACGCAAGGCTACTAATTGAATTTCGTTCATGCTAGCCAATTTTCTCTGACTAAGTAATTAGTCTTTTCTTTGAAGGACAATGATTTAGAGAACAAACGGTCAAAGTATCTTTTTAGTCAGGCTATTATATAATAAGGTAGTAAGATCTGACAGTAATGGTAACTCAAATTGGAAACAAACACTAAAAAACATATTACATACAGCTAAGATAATTTGATTGACACCCATACTAGTTACTGGTAAATCAGTTGAGTTTTACAAAAACCTCAAATAACAATGTTGTCGGACAAACTCGATATTATTTCACCAGCTTTCCAGAATTTTGTTTTGAATATCGAAACAATCTCATTTAAACATAGGAAGACATATGACTGTAGCGAAGACAAATTTTTTATTTTCGACAGAATCATTCTCTTATGTACATTCACGAATATATCGTAGAAAGGATAGAACATCTCAGAGTAATTTCTGGTCAAAGACAATTATAAATTGTTTTGCCTATGAAGATGCATTTAACCCTAATACAATCTCTCAAACTTGTTTAGTTATGTATTACCTCAAAACTTTTTTCTCTGGTTCACTATCTCTGGAGACACCTGTCAACACCAATGACATCAGCCACAGAACCACTGAAAAGTAAAAAGTACTGGACAATCACTTGGTCACACCTTGAAACTATACACAAATGTCCACATAAAATCGTTTAAGGCATCAGCTTTGCTAGGATCTGGACCGTGAAATAGGTAAATTATCACTCAACTACTAAGTATGAATCAAATGATTCACCTCAATTTCCAAACAGTATTGAAAATGATAAAGACCATCGGTAAAATTATTACTCAAGAATAATTCAGCTTTTAGCTGATAATTTATTGTTAATTTGCTGAAACAGTTTTGAACTTTCAGTTTTGAGTACCGCTTTATACAGTAATTTGATTTAAGGTGACGTAAGTTTAAATTGGTTTAAAATATCCTCTAATTGGGTTTTTAACTGATCACGACTTTTTTTAAGAAATTTTTCGTCTTCTTCAGCTCTTCTATTGCAGCAGCCAACCGATTAGCTTCCTTCTCTTCAACAGCTTGACAATTGAGGGCTTCTTTTTGTATTTGCTTTCTTAACGATGTTATTTCTTTCTCTAATGTACTGATTTGACTTATTTGTCTTTTATGATCAGCTGCACGTGCTAAAGACTTCTGTAGACCAAATACAACTCCTGAAGCATAGATTGACTGTAAAGCAGCCAATGTTGTGGCTACTTCATTACGTACTCTAAGCAAGAGTAAACCTCTTTCAGCACAATGTATTGTAAGTTGCCGTATGAGTTCATCAAAAACCTATAGTTGAAAGTATCAAGAATAGTTGAAAAAAGGTGCATTAAATTGCTTTTAAAGCTGAAAATCATGCACACACAAACTAAACTTTTACTTTTAATTACTAAAGTTATAAAAGCACAGTTTTCAACTTATGAAATAAAACGTTTAAGCTTATTTCCGCTGAATATGTTATTCCCTTCTTTGCCTACACCAGTTATTTGTCTCCTAGCATAGATATCATCACATAAAAATTACGATGAAGTAGCGATGCAAAAACTGAATCTTATGTGAAGGCTAAATGAGTATTTTTGGATCTAAGTTCCAAAATGTTTCTAATCTCAAATTCATTCCTAGTGATTTAATGTAGCATTTGTTAGGTTTTGATACCCATACAGAACTAGATATATTTCAGAAAGAAAAATGATTTTCTCATCTTGCTGCAATTTTCAACGGCACAAAAATAAAGAAAATGAACAGGTGGAGATATCAAGTAGAAAGGTGCTTCCGACTTGAAGGCAGGTAAAACGTGAACGCATCTAAGGCGGTCGACCAACTCATGAATACATCCTTTTGCTTCTGTAATTGTTTGTTTTCAGTCTTCTTGCACATGTCTGCATTAAATGCAAACGTTTGAAGAAGAATTCCGTAGAAATCTCTTGACTAGATTATTATAGTCAGATAGTCTGGAGTTCAAACATCGAGACATTCTCTGTATATACTAGTGCATCACAAAAACTTATTCTCTGTCTACTCTAGTTTTAATCATAACGCTCAGCCTTTTCAGGCTTGATAATTGCTAATATCAAATCAGCAAAAAATATGGACAGACCACTTTTCTGTTCATCTATCATTTCTACAGAGTAACGAGAACTACCTTTTCTTCAGTACGCACGTAACCTCAGTACTACCATGATTGAAACAAGGATCTAGTTATCAGATTCTTGTCTAAAAAGCTGTGCAAATGCAAAATATTATAACATTTGGATGTGTCTTAATTGTGTGTCAATATTCTTAAACAATTAGTAAAACCAGTTTATACACTTTGCAGTTTTCAGTTTTATCCACACTAACGAACATAAAAGGGGTGCAATTTGAAACAATATTAAGGTAAACAAGGTCTTATGAAAGTAAAATGTAGACTGGAAAACAGTACAACCGTTGGGTAACGAATCTGTAAAGATAATCATAAGCTTTGTGTGTTTAGTTGCATCCGGCAAACGTAGCAGTCGAGTTTTTACCAAAAAGGATGAGCCAGAGATCAAGTCTTGATTACTATGAATTGAATGATGTCTAGAATGTTTCCAGAAGCAAATGAACAGACCGCTTACATTCATACAGAAATCATCCATATTTAATGAAGAAATGTGTTACATAGCCTATTGTGTGCAGATAGACATAGAGGTGAAAGGTACGTAGGATTACTGGTTATTATACCAATTGATATGGCCTCAGAATAGCAGGTTTAGACTAATTTGGATGGATGGAGGAAAAAGGAAAGCTTGGTTCACGTTGTGTGTCAAACCTTTTTTCGTTTCAACTACATTCATTACACCTTGTAAATAGAATTTTGCAAAGTCATCTCTTTTTCATCATCTATGATTTTACCACTGGCTCAATCATATATAAAGTCTACAGATGATCAATGGCTGAACTTTTAGGCGAAAAATGCATCCTTTAGAGGAATATTCACTCATCATCATTTGGGATTTTTGATAGATGCTACTAAAAAAAATCACAGTGGGTTCTCAGAGAATATTTCTTGTCAAATCCAGATAAATCAGAGGATGCTTTCAAGGCGAAACATATCAACAAACCGTCAAGTTATGTGAGTGATTATTCCCCGCATTTTATTATTAAAACGCAGGTTATCAAGATGATGAACTCTGTATGTCAACTTTAGTAGATTATAAATTACAGGTACTAGAAAGCTATATTGGTATCAATAAACATACATATTTAAACAAATACATGTTGTTACAAGTCAGCTCATTCCAAATCAGTACACTGAGGACAAGTCCACAGAAGATAAGACTGTAAAATGAAAATGATAAAATCATAAGAAACACCAATGGTTTACCACAATATTTTAGTATAAACCCAAAGACTGCATATTTGGATGTAAGAGAGTTATCCACTAGAATATTTATCAAGCTGATGGGTTATTTAGAAAGTGGCAGGTCCTCTAGGCCATAGTTAATCCGGATAGTATTAAAAGGGATTTTCTTTATAATAAGATGCACATTTTCACATTAACTAACTTACAAAAGAGAACCTAATTGCATTAAATGTTCTACTCGAAATCGGTTTTTCTCAACAGTGACTAGTTAAGTCACGGTAAATCTAACATCCAAATCTACATAATAAACGGTTTCTCTCTCATTCTCTTCTCTTAAATTCACAACCAAATCGCATAAATATTGACTCTACCAATATTATTTGCTTAGTCAATTAGCTTGTTCGAATCAAAAATACAGAGCACAGTTATTTATGAATAAAACTTCAACTACTAACTTATTATCAGTAGCATATACTTAATTTTAAAAATTCAAGCGTACGGCTGGAGCCTCAAGTTCAAATGAAGGGAATTTCTTTTCATTAAGTTCACTGAACATACTACTTATTATTAGCTTAAGAAGTAAAACGTTGTATTTCAGTACACTTTTAAAATACTTTCCTTCAATCACAGATGCATTATTTGCTAGGAGTGTAATAACAGTTCTTGGCTAATCCTTTAAGACTATGTTGCTATGTTGTGTTACTGCATCATTCTCCTCAGTTGCAAATGAATGTAAAAAAGTCATCAGCATTTCGCTAAGTGTTTTCTCTGGTGCCTCAATTGGTAACTCAAAAGGCGCTCTTCGAGTGAGTAAACCCCAAAATGACTCTACATGACCAGCACGTTATACTTGCAAACTCATATGTAGTTGAAATAAGATAACCCTTTTGATTTAAGCTTAATGGTGAGATTTATCAGTAATCACTCATCAGTTTGACTTCCCTTCTAATTTTGGTCATGACCACCTACTTCACAATCTGCCTAATTGTTGATTCTTATGAATATTCTTAAACTGATAACATTCGCTTCATTCTTTCATGCAAAAGACGTAATAAAAGTACCTGTAGGAATGATAACTCAAGCTGTTATCAGCATATCGGCTATGACAACCTATGAACGTGCAGCTTATTTGTCCATTCTTATGATTGAAAAGTGAAAGTTCGCGGTAAAAAGGGTCCATATTTTACCTAGTTCATCAATTACAATGCTTAGTTCTCATGTAAGTAATAAACACATGAACATCTATTCTCCTCCAAACTAATTGCTCAGTCATCATTTTCCACGACTCGGTGTATCAATCAGCTTCGGCTACCTTGAAATGTAAAGATCAGTTTGTCAGATATTCTCATTGACAACACCAATAGTATTTTAGATTTACTTCCTTTTCATCAATTGCCTATTCAGCATGTGATAAATAGTTAATTTGGTTCTGTGCAAAGTCTACGAACAAAAGTTTTCTCTTTTATTACCTACAAGTTTACGCTTTTACTGAATGAATTCATAAGAGGTACGGTGAAAGGTGAAAATCTATTTGAAGTTTCTCTCGAAACTCCAAACCTTTTTGGTCTTATTGATTATTTGCACTCACAAAAGGAAGAGAACATTCAACAAAAAAGACCAGATCTTTTGATGCTCACTTGAACAGGGTAATCTAACGGAATAATGTATTTCAACTTATCTTAACAACAACATCTGAGATATACATTTAAAAATTTGCTGTTGGATAAGACGGATTTAGGTCTCTCAGAAAGAAAAAGAAGAAATGTTGAAGTTTAAGAAACCTTATGACAATGAGTACATCAAATACGAGTTTCCAATGAAGGACTCTACATCAATAACCTTCAGCTGCACAACATTAAAATCATCTCTTTTGAAAATGATTTCAGGTTGTCTGAATCAGCAAATATTAAATATTCTTTTATGTTTTTGGTTACAATAAATCATAGTCTAGTGAAAAAAACACAACTATGTTAAGCTTGGAGTATTACTCTGTAACCCAATATTCATTAATATTAAAGTAAATTCCATGTATATATTTCTTCAGATAAACCCTTATAACTTGGAATGTGACATTAGTTAAACCTAAATAATTCATGGTACATAAAATACTTCAGTGAACCAGGCTTCCGTAAGATATTTTACATGCTTTACAGCAGTAAACTGAACATAGACAGACATGAAATCAACGTAGAAACACAAACACATGTATCGACTCAAATTGCCAAGCTTCATAGTAGTACACAAAGAACAGGTGGATAAAACAAGAGTGATATCAAAGTGGACAAAGTTATGTGATAGAACAAACGATTTGAAGACAAAGGTTAGTACGAATATTCAAGCCTTGGAAGATGTCAAGGAGTGAATTCATCTGCACCGCTGTGACAGATTTCCAGCCATTTCACCGAGAACCCTCAACCACTCATCCCTTTCGTCTCCGGAACCGGAACAGCGCAGTCTATATCTTCCCACACGGCTTAGGTCAACAGTTAGAGATAGAAAATTTTACTACCAACAAAAACAAAGAATATGAGGTGAAAGGAAGAAAATCAGATGTCGAAAATAGTGTGATTACACAGATATGATTATGAGCAATAATCATTTATGCTCGAAACGTCACCAAGTAAGTAATACCGTATTACTATATGTTATAAATCAAATACACAAATCTGAGACATTGCCCGAGTTTTGCAACTATATCAACAGCCAGAGGCTTCATCGATTGGTGTCACGTATTCGTCTGGTCACCCTGAACCTTATTCCAAACTAATCCAACTTCCCCTAGCGTGGCAGTTCAGCATTCAAGTACATGTCCAAGTCATCTCACTTGACTAAGGTTCACAACCTCATCAGTAGACTTGTTTGTCTTGCCTAGTACTCTTTGCCTGACCTCAACACTCCTCTTACCCTGATTCCACCAAACGCGAACAATGCTACAAAGACATCAAAGATCAAGACCTTGTAGTAATCGCTTCTTGTCTTTTACTCGTAACAGCTATGTCTCACAACTGTATAACGGGACACAACGGACGGCAGATCAGGAAACTCGTCATTTAATAGATAATCGGATATCAATTCAGCCGGCAAGTGAAAAAGGGCTTTCTGTATCTGAGCTGAGATTTCGTCAGCAACCAGACTGTTTGAATTGATGTAACTCCCAAGTAAGTGAAGTAGTCGACACATTCCACAGCTGCAATCCATATCATCAGACCAGGTGCGGTTGCAAACCAGTCCTGAACACATTAAAGTATACATGCCTAAGCCAACTAAATGTGCTTATGTATACAGTATTAGATTTAAGATTTAGTTTTCTAAAGTAATAGAATACCGGATGATCAGGTGGCAGTCTCATCTGAAATACTCTGATAAATTAAACCAAATTTATTCAAAATGATGGTCAAAGTTCAGTGGGAATTAAGTATGCTATATGCTTTGAAGCAAAGAACCAAAACCTTTTGATTTGACATCCTGTCTTCTTGCAAAGAAGGGAATGTTAAACAGATGCAGGCTTGTTATAACTTTTAGCGGTAGCTTGCAGGGAAATCTAGGACTCAAAGTCTATCCTGTCAGGATATCGTCAGCCGGATGTAAAAACACATCATTTAGAGATGGTGTTACCACTGAAACTCGAACTCAACACTCACCGCTTCAAACATAAGAGAATTACACGCTAAGCTAATGAGGCAGATTTGCTATCTTTTATCCAAACCAGTGTCGGCTTCTTCCGGTTGAGCCATATCTACTTAACCTACGTTGTAGAAGTTCTGTCGACAGTTTTCATGTGGTAGGGATATATCCATAAAATTGAAACGATGACAGTGAGTATTCAATGCTAGAATCAGGCGAATACATACTAACAGATAACCTGAAGAACTCCTGAACGACCTTCCATCCACGTTGATCCCATGGACATGCGGTATCAGCCTTCTGAGTTTGTTGCTCAATAAAGCACCAAAATTAGACAGAAAATACTCGGATGAACACCAGTTAGCGGTCATTTGTATGCTGTTGGGCTCATACATCCAGTTAAAGTGAGCAGTAACAATGAAAGGAAAAACACGTTATTTTTCATTTCTTGTCACAATTTGCAGTCTGGATACAATAAAGTATACACCCTATCGTCAACTGAGTGGTTTTAACAGGTGGGCTTAATGGATATCGTGTTGACAAGTGGAAACCTCAAATAGAGGATAGGGCATCTAGAATAGGAAGGTAGTCAGTTGAATGACAGAGTGGAAATCGCTAACCAAATATTGGATAAGATGTAAGGTTTTGTGAACTTTTGCACAGATCGTAACCTTTTATAACCGTCTGAAATTTCCGACACAATAAAACTACATGTTATATTTGGTGCTCTCTGTGTGCCGTGCAAGTTTGTACTAACAATACATCAAGTTGGAACCAATTTAAGGGTGATTATTGGTGTGCAGGACAGTTGATTTTCTCTGCAGCATCTGTTTAGACTTTGCCTATGTTTCTAAGACAATCGACTATAATTGTGCCCAAGCGATTTTGTAAATCGTCAGATGCCGTCGAATAGTTTGTGTACCTATATGGTTGTTTTATTTCCGGCTGGTAAGCAGAAGATCAAATTTCAAATTGGATAAGGATAGCTAGGAAGGTAACATTCCATTCTCAATCACCTTTGACACCCTCGTTGTATTCACTTAGTTTTAAAAGTTCAGGTTTGCACTACTTAAATCCAAATAACCTGAATCTATCCCAAAATGGGGCTTCCCTAATCTAGAGATTTTCAGTGAGTGTCCGTTTGGTTACCATTGTCTGTGTGCGATTATAGGCCATATGCAAACTGACGTATCACTGTGAAACCTTGCGAGAAGTGTATGTGATTAGATTGCCACACTTGGCAACAGTAACATTAACTATATGACATAGTCACTCCGAGAGTATTACCTAGTGATTGTAAAAATAGGAACAGAAACAGTTGTTGCAGCTTTACATAGGGTGATGCCATTTTGAATAATCTGTGAAAGCCATCCAATCACTCATTTTTATTGCTAATTACGCTAATCTCTTATATCTCACTAAGGCGCCAAATCAGGGTTGGCTTTAATAATTAAAATTGACAGTTTGAATGTGTACAAAATAAGTCTACTGTAAAATAATGCTCATGAAAATGCTTGTTATGTTTATTCACATACCTGAATGAATAACTCCCTTCTAACTGGACAAATACCTGTCATTTTAGCACCACGTAATTCAAGTTGTTGATCTAACTGTTGTATAAGCTGAATAACATCAGTACGAGTAGCTGGACATGATGACGCTTCTTGTATATAAAGACTGTTTCCGGTGATAAAGCGTCTTGGTGGTATGATACTACGTAATATGTCTTCAGTAGATCCAACTGTTCTAGCAGCATTCGGATCAAGAGTGAGAAATGAAGTAGGAAAACCAGTTCGACTGCCAGTAGCAGACGGTCCAACAGACTGGGATCGAGATTTTTTCAAAATAAAAATTTCTTCATTATTTTGGCTATACTTCTGTAAGTCAGTTTTATCCGTTATGCGCACTGGTGGTTTATATTTTATTAAACTAAAATCGGGCACAATAAGTTGTTGTTCCGAACCCATATCATATCCAAAAGCGAAGAATACATGAACTACAGTGCTATAATACACTTATAATTATATTAATTCGAATTACTTCGATCCTTGTTTGATCGATTTGTTAGACTTGTCAGATTAACTTGCAATAAAGAATAATTCAGTGGATAGGGCGTTATTAAGAAGATGGCAATAATATTATGGCTCTAACCCTGTGAGCGAAACTTGGTGAAGGTTCCTTTCTTCTTGGCGAAATCAGGATAGCAGATCTAAGTAATCTGTACAGGTAACCTAAGGAGACTTTTTCCTTCATTTTCAATATTTCAAATTATTCGATGCATCAGCCTAAGCATATATATATCATTAAACTTCTTGACTCATTGAGAAAACTTTAATGAAAATGTCCAGTTTAGACAAGATAAAACGTTATACTGTTAAATATCTATTTATAATACTGTAAACGATGACAGTAAGGGGAATGACAAATAATGCGCAATGAATGACAGGATGAACACTTCTTACAGAGAAATAAAGTTTGCAAACACCTTTACTTCTCTTTCTAAACTACTCTAATTAATCACCTTGTTCAAGGAATCTGTTAGGTTATTTCATACAGCAGTAGATAATTATTGATTACCAACATTATTTTAATCATCTGAGGTATTCTGAATCTATCTGCTTTCCAATTACATTCAACCCAAATACTGTATGAAGCCATGAAGAGGATTCTGTGTGTTCGCAAGAGATTTTCTATAATAATTATTATTTATTATTGTTTAGTGCTTGATTAGTGGTTGCTAGTACCACTATTTACAAGGAGAACTAGACAGGCTTCCAGGTCACTTAAGGCTACATAACCAATGAGTCGCAGATTAAGTGGATCCATGATGCTTTGGAAAGTGAGGCTACCTGACTATAATCCCTAAGATGCTGGGAATCAATAACTGAAGAGCCTTATTGACATGAGTCATAACATATCATTAGTGGTGTAAATGTACTGATCACTTATCTTCCTCAAACTCATTACTACTTTATTTATTTGCACTGACTTCAATCAGTCATGCAACTCTTGGTGTGGATACAATTTTCGAGTTTTGTTTGCCCTCATTATCCTTCTGACTTAAAACTCCGTTGGCTTAATTAACCTTTCTGAGTTTTAACATAAATTATCCAACCAGTTCATCAGTAATGAGATTTTGTGAAATGTATAACGCTAATACATCACATGTTTCAGATAATCTTAGTCTTCTCATTATGCCATCTATATCTTATTATTTACTTGTCTCTCCCTCCATGAAAATAAGTTAACAATGTTGCAGAATAAAACGGAGAATAAAGGGATGAAAGTTTATAGACCAGTGTTTATAGGAAAACTTACAATCCAAATCACTACACAGACTTCAAATAATCCCACCATGCCCGAGTTAAAGTAAGCTTGGATAAATGTCTAAGTGATAGTGTAAAAAAAGCTGATTAGTAGCACAAAGAATACTACTATTACTACTACTAGTAATAGTATTGGTAATTATTATTTGTCCCTTGGGTTCCTAGTGAAACATAGGGCTTCAGTAACAAGTCTTCATTTCACTCTGTTCTCTGTAGTTTTTTGAACCTCGCTGCTTGACTTCCCACAACCTTTCATTTCATCCTCACATGATCTCCTCCATGTCACCATTGCCTCCGGCACCCAACTCGTCGTTTTTCCTCTGGGTTCCACTAGAGGGCCTAGCACGTTATGTCCCCAGTCGGTCTTCTCTATGTATATCCAGTCAAATCCATCTCCACTTTCTTCTGCATATTTGTTAGGTGATGAGTTCTTGGTTGGTTCGTTACTAGAGTTCCTTGTTGATTATTCTTTCTGGTCATTTGATCTTCAGTATCGTGCGTGAGCAGCTGTTGATGAATATCTGTAGTTTGTTGAAAATGTCTTTCCTAACGCGCCAAGTTTCTGAACCATATACAAGTATTGATTTGACTGAAGTTAGTGTTGAAAATCCGGATGGTGTTCACGCTTAATGTTGAGTCGAGTGCAACAGATCTCCACACTGATTTCAGATGAATGAAGGCCTCTCTTACTTTCCGATCCTGGATTTGACGTCTTCATCTATGTCACCTGTAGTCGAAACGATGCTGCCTAGATGCTAGGTGAAAGAGAATACTTCCTTTAGGTTTCTCCCGTTCAGAGTGATTGATACCTTTTGTTATTGGCTGGGTATCTTCATCACCTCTGTCTTCTTTCTCTACATTCACCTGAAGGAAGTTTCGTCTCCCCTGACCTGCCCCGCCTCACCTCCTCTACCAACTTGTTGGTCTTCGCCTGCAGATCTTCCAGTTTGTGCGACGAGACACTAGACATATATCATCATCGGCGGCGAAATCCAAATACTCTCCTGGTGTCTTTACATCGCTCCAACCAGTGCATGCCCCTCTCCTCGCTCCTCACAGTTCTCTGTTGCATCATCCAGTCCAGTCCAGTTGACCACAATCACGAAGATGATAGGGGATAGTAGGTGACAACCTCGTCTTACATCCGTCCCCTGTCTTCACTTCAAAGGCATCACTCAGCTTACCGTTGTCAATCACTTGACATGTAGCATCCTCATGCAGCATATAGCTATCGAATGAGGTTCATAAAGGTTTGTGGCACTAAAACCCTAGTGTTCAAGCAGCGGTTGCCAAATTACTTCTCGGTCGACACTGTCAAAGGCCTTTTCAAAGTCAATGAAGTTGAGGTAAACAGTTGCAACTCTGCCATTCTATGTTCTGTTCTATGATGATGTGTAGTGTACAGTTGCAATTTCATCCACACATGATTTGTTCTTCCTGAAGCTAGCCAGCCAGCCAGCCTGGTCCCGTAATAATTTTGAATCCAGTTCATCTTTTAGTCTCTCCAGTATGATACGACTAAATATTTTGCTTCGCGTGGACACGGACAGGAGCATGATTCCTCACCAGTTCTTCCAAAGACTTAGGTAGCCCTTCTTTGGAAGTTTGACAAGGTAGCCACTCTTCAAATCAGCAAGTATCTTTCCTCCCTCCCTTCCTTCCTTCCTTCGAAACCGTCTGCAATAGCGGTGTGAGCGTGTCTTCTGTTGTGTCAGAGTCTGTTTCCAATGCTTCTGGTGGAATTCCATCTGACTCTGTTGCTTTCCCGGATTTCAGCAACTTTATGGTGTTCACAACTTCACTTCTGCTTTTGTCGGAGGGCTTGTGTTCACTGGTAATTCTGTGGCTGGGCTGCTGGTCGTATTTCCGGACGAGTTGCAGGTGGTGGTGGTGGTGGTCGATTCAAGGGTTTCTTGAAGTGGTCAGCCCACTGTTTCCTTTGTTTCTACTCTCTGCTAACTAGGTTTCCTTCACTGTCTTTAACTGGTTATTTGATGTGATGTTGTCAGGTCTCTCCTACCTGCAGCCTGATTCATTTTCTGCCTCAACATCCTCCTCTCCCTCTTCTACCAGCTTGTATGTGTCCGTCAAAATCCATTCCTTGTCTCGTCTCGTTTCTTTTTCCTTCCTAATACGGTTGCAGGTGGTGGTGGTGGTGGTCGATTCAAGAGTTTCTTGAAGTGGTCAGCCCACTGTTTCCTTTGTTTCTACTCTCTGCTAATTAGGTTTCCTTCACTATTTTTCATTGGTTTCATTCCAGTTGATCTCTTCCCAGATAGTAAATAACCTGGTTATTTGATATAGTGTTACCAGGTCTCTCCTACTTGTATCCTGTTCTGCTTCATTTCCAGTGTGTCGTAGAAGTGTCTTTTGTCTTTGCGTGCATTCTTCTTCACTTCTTCATCCAGTGTTTTATACATTGTGTTCAGTTCCTTTTTTTGTTGTTCATCCATACACTCCACTGATTCATCTTGTGCCTCACCATCCTCCTTTCCCTCTTCTATCAACTTGCATATGTCCGTCAAAGTCCATTCCTTATCTCGTCTTGTTTCTTCTTCCTTCCTAATACGGTTATGCAGGTTTATTTCCATGTCTCTTCCAGAGAGTTCCAGTGTTCTTCCACACAGGTTTCTTTAAGGATGTTGCTCAATATCTCCTATTTTGTCCTCATGACTGACTGACTGACATGAAGATGTCCTTTGTAGTTCAGTCCTTCAGTTCAATTTCTAATCTGGTGTTCAACTTGAACTGTGGTCTATCATCACCAGCTTCCTTGAAGGCTTTCAACCTGATTTTGAATGCAGGTTCCTTGCACTAAGTGATCAGTGGTGTGAACCTACATCTACTCCCCTTCTTGATCTGACCTTGTGTCCAGTAGACTACGTCTCCACTTTCTTCACATTGAAATGAAGTCCATCTAATTTCTAGTGTGTCCTAGTGTCTGGTGAAATCTATGTCGCTGCCTTTTGAATATCCTTGTGTTTGTACACACTGCCTGAATCCAATCACCAAACCATTAAAGCTGCAGAAGTCTGTAAACAGTTCTCCATTCTCACTCATCACTTCATCCAGTGCTTCTCGACCAATGCACAGTTCTCTCCCTGTGTTATCTGCTCCCAGTTTGCCATTCATGTCACCCCACCCATTAGAATTTTGACGTCGCCAACTGTGCTGGGGTCTTGTTTATTACTGATTGCAGTTCTCTGTAGAATTCCTTCTCCTGATCTGTATTATTTGTAGGTACGTAGCATTGGCATTATATGATTTTGACTTTCCTTCCTTTTGAGTCGAATTTTGCTGTCATGATCCTGATCCTGCAGGAGGAGATTGGTTCCCACTGTATGAGAGAGAGCCATCGATGCTGTTGGTGAAATCATTATAGCCACTCCAAAACTCAATGTGCTCGTGGTTATCGTCTGGGTGACAATATCGGAGTAGATTATTGACTCTCCAGTCGACAGTTTCGAGAGTCCAGTTAGATTCGACCTGCTTTCGCAGATTCCTAGCACTTCCACGCTAATACATTCTGGTCTCTTCGACAATCTGTGCAGCCTTGCTAGGTTCATACATGGTGCGGACATTCCATGTCCCCATGTTTACCTTCGCTTTCATCGAGGGAGAGAAAACATATTGGCCAATTGGCTTCCTGAAGGCCTTCACCAACCGGCGTCATTTTGCCTCTCCGATTC